ACCAAAGAAACTATAGCAAACATGGATAATATAATTAATAGTGTACAGTTTATATTGATTACTTATTCGTTATCCATCCCCCTACCTCTCCCTCCTATCAGAACCCTAATTTGTATCATATATCCATCCTTTCTTCATACTGTCGTGGGCTCTAGGGCACTGTTTCTTAACTGAAGGTGATTCTGCCCCTCCAGGGGACATCTGATCCTGTCTGGAGATGTTGACTCTCACAATTTTGGGGAGGATGCTACTGGCATTTAGGGTAGAGGCCAGGATGACGTGACTGGCTCCAGGCCAAAATCCTGTATGTGATCTTTCAGACCTTATCACAGGCAATTACAAAGGCTTTGCCTGACAGGATTCATGGGGAAAAGCTGCCCTTCCCACATATAGTCTTCCAAGACAGTTATAATCAATAACCTCTGGGCCTGCATGCTCATATGCATATCTGCATTCCTAGCCCAGGCACCTCCATTCACAGGCCTCCTTATCAGGAGACCTTGGCTGAGACACATTTTGATCTCTCCACTGAGACCTCCTTATGGGGCGGGCCTTGACCAAGACACTTTTCTCCACTATGACTCAGTTTTTTCACTCACAGCCTTTCCTCTAGTCCCCTTGTTCATAAAATGGCAGGAACCTTTTATTCCAGGCTCCTCAGCAGTAAGACAATTTCCTCTACCTGTACTACCTGTCATTTGATTGACCCTTGCTCAGTGCCATTCTACGGGGAGTGGGGGTTTGGAACAGTGAGGAGTGGGCACTGTTTTCCTACTTGCCTTTTTTGGCCTCTCGCCGCTTATCACAGTAAGTAAATAAAGATTTGATTGTTACTTTCATTTTGGCTCACTGTCTTAAAACCTTTCCAGCTTGGTGCAGGGATACTGCTAAACATCCTACAACGCACATAACAGCCTCCCACAATGAATTAACTGGTCCAAAATACCAACACTGCTGAGGCTTTGGGGAAATCTGACCCCATCACCAGCTCTAGGGCCAATAAGTTCATAGAATTCTCCTGGTGAATGTTATTCATCCAGAAAGTGGACAAATAACCAAATAAGTTAGCCCAATCACACTGAAGATGACTTACTATTCCATGGTTGAAGGAGAATTTTCCTCAATTTCTGTTGTGCTGGACATGAACAAGGCAACATGAAGCCACTGGCAACCATCTTGTGAACATGACGGAAAACAACTTTGGGAAAAAGTTTATTCTATGCTAGAGGAAACAGGGAGAGAACCTAGGCCCTTGATGACATGACTGATAGAACGGTGGCTGAAGCTCACCATCTTTGGACCTTCAGAAATGTTTAACAGTGAATTTCCTTATGATTTTAAGTTAATTTCAATTGGAGTTTTTCCTACTTGCAATGAAAAGTATTCTTTTACAAAAAGATAAACTAAATAAGCAATAAAAACAAAATATAACTAAAAGCAAAGATATATTACATATAAATAAATACAATTAGACTATACTAATAAATGAAATAAGATACTAAAATAGAATCACAAAGCAAAACCCAATATATAGTAAGTTAAAATAAAATACCTAAATAAATCAACACTATAAAAAAATAAAAGGATGAATAAGGGTATATCAGGCAAATGCAAGCCAAAATAAAACAGGTCATAATCTTAATATCTGACATTTCAAAAGCATCCATTGAGGAAAAAAAATATTGTTATAATGGCAAAGGTAAAACTCACAATGGAAATTTAACAGTTGTGAATTCATTTGCAACAGAAAACAGCCACATACTGTACAGAAAAAAAGTAAAGTAAAAACCACAGATAATAAGAGGAGAACTCAACAGTAATCTGTAAGTGGAGAGTTTAACTTACCTCTCTCTCAAGTCATGACTAAGCATGTGGATCAAAGGAAAAGGCTATAGAAAATCTAAATAATATCTTTAATCAGGATATAATATATATATAGTATAAAACAATAAAGAGATTTTGTATAGTCCTCCATTCTCTGAAAATAGAGACTAGATCTTCCCCAAAAATTGACCCATGTAAAGAAAACTTTACATGCCAATAGTTTGGTACCCAGGATTCCATACAAAGGGACAGCTGTTTCTACTTGGACTCCTTATCACAAGAGACTCCTTCAGAAGGAGTGTAAAAATTGTTCCCATGGGCAAGAATGCTGCTATTTGTGGTAGCACCAGGTACAGAGAAAGAGAATTAGAGAGAGGCTAGAGAGGGAACTGCTGGGACATCACAGAAGTGACCCCAACCTGACCAAGAATAGTATGGCTGCCTACACTGTCCAGATAATAAGGCAAGGGTAAACTGACAGAAAACTAATGAATGCTTTATGTAAGGCAAACTTTGATAAGCACACAAGTAAAGATTGAGAACTTTTTACCGAAGTATGAACACAAAACAAAAAAGTAAAATCTTAGTTCAAACTGGCATGGAAATAAATAATAGTGGACGTGCAGGGTAGATCAGAGTCAGCAGAACCTGGAGAAAAATCTAGGTGACCTTGATCAAAAAACTCTTCCTTTGTCTAAAGAGTTTTAACAAGAGAGCTCTTGAAGAAGAACTATCTTTTAACTTTTCTCTCATAATTGCCATCTATCACCCTCTTGCTCTAGGTACGTATATATTAAGCATACTGCCACATGTTCTCTGTTCATTTACTGCCTACCTTCTGCCTCCATTTCCTACACAAAGGAAACATGATATAGAGTGTTCAGCATACTTTTCTCCATAACCCAAGACTGTACAACACCCCCAAAACATTTTCTAGTAGTTAAGAATGGACTACAAGAACTCATTAGAACCAGAGCAGCAGAACCTGCTGGCACTGGACTTCAAGGGCAAAAAATAGGTTTGAGTTCATATGCAGGGTTTTTAAGGGGAAAAGATTGAATAATGCACTATGAAGACTAACAGGCCAGGATAACTGAACAGTACCTCAAGCTGGGCTTTCTCATCTCTTTGCTGGATGGAGGATTAGCTATGAGAAGAAATATCTTCTAGTATTTAAAACAAACAAAAAACACATTTTACAGGGATAGAATCAAGTGAGAAACAGATGCTTCAGTCAAACTTCCATTGAATGGTGATAACTATAATTTCTTTTTGTTTGTTTTGGAAAATGAATCTAAGGTTCTTGCAAATAAAACTGTCCTGTCTACACAGCAGTTATTACCAAGTTTGCCGACTACAGTGAAATCATAGTTTTTGTATATCAATGGAAAAATGTGACTTGCACTGAACTTTCTAGTTAGTTTCTATTGTGACAGCTATGGCCAATACTAAGAAATTTTATCTAATATCTAAGATGAGCATTGTTTAATATTAAAATACTTTTCCTCATTCTACTTTGAAAGTTAAAAGTAAAGGGTCAAAGAAAAGAATAAAAACTTGCCATTTAAGCCATCCTCTGATTCTAGAAATAAATTATTTTAATTCAGTTCCACTTAAAAAATAAAAGCAGTTTCTTGACTCTGACAATGAGCACATTAACCACATTTTCACACACAGAAAGCTTAGGTACATTCAACTGTTTACAAGACATGTCTCCATGTAATACATTTACATTCATGTGAAATATATGAACTTATAGAATTGTATATATTTGTGACTTTTGCATCTGGTACCTTTTAAAATGAACACGTACTATGCTTATTTTCTAAAGTCAATTCATATATGATGATTTAAGGTTAGGAGAGTCTCTACTGAAGGATTTTAATAGCTGCATTCATAAGAGAATTCAATAATTTTTCTAAACATAAGCCTCAAACTAAAGCTTTAGCAATTTAAGTTACCTAACTGGCAATGGATGCAATTCTTATCAGGATGTACTGTTTGGTTTACAGTTTAAGTCATTTCAAGTGGTTTATACAATAATTATTTGTGTATCAGGGGAAAGTAAGCACCAAGGATAATAAATATTTTTTCACAGCATAGATGAAATCACAACGCAATAATCTCAATTTCCCTTCAAAATCTAATCATTTGAAATGAGCATGTATTTCAAATGCTCAATCTTTAAGTTATCTTAGTGAGATCAACTGATATTCTAGAGATAAGAATGGAAATGGTAAAAACAGGCGCTATACATAATATCTACTAACAATGGAATTCAGATACTCTTCTTACATTGATTACCTCCATTCTGGAACTCAGTTTTTTAGATCTAAAAAGAACTCTGAAAATAACTAACATTTATAAACTTGTCAACTGTATCTTAAAAAGAAACTCTAAAGATGTCTTTCTTGCCAATATACAAAGAAAAATTGTCCTGACGAACAAAAGCACCTTATGGTAAGGAAATATATAAAGAAAATATTTTCTACAAATTTATGTGCATAAAGGTATAGTTATCCCAGCTGCATATACAATATTTTAAATAATACACAATAAAAATTCAAATCATAGATTGAAAAAATAACCCATATGCCAATACTCCAGTTATTAAATATTGCAGCATATATGTAATCATAACAATTGGGGAAAAAAAGGTTTCTAATCTATATGGTCAATGAAATCTCTTTGGAAATATGCTTTTTAAAAGTCCCCAGTATGGCCATCAAATTTCAAGCTATAGGTTTTTGCAGCCCAGATGTGATCCTGTGAAAGTGAAAATGTGTACAGAGGCCACCTCACAGGTTCTTCAGCAAACAGCATTACTGTGTGACATTGGCACAGGCCGTCTGGGCTTTCCCATTCCTCTTCTTTACCACAGGCACACAGTAAACATCACATTCAGAACAACAGACCTTTATCACCATAAGTTTTGCTACTCATAAAATGCTAATAAACATTGTTTTAAACATTTCCAGATCATGACAAAGGCCTTACCTGAATATATACAAAGAATTCTCTAGATGTCATATATCTTTAAATTAATACAGAGATGTATAAGGAGACACAAATTACTTGCTTTGATACTTTTCAGTCAAGGTTTATTATGTGTCTCTTTCTACTGAACACGTGATTCTTTATAAGTATAATGAGTTCCAGCTTCTGCTAAGAAGATTTCATTTTTTTTTCGCAGTGTTTTTTTTGTGTTCATGCATTTCTGTTTTGCTACTCACACCCTTTTTCCGAGATGAGGTATTGGGAACAACCATACTAGAAGGTCCGCTGGGAGCTATACATAAAAAGAAAAACTACTGTTTAGATTTTCACAAGCAATCCAAGTTCAGATAATACAAAATAATCAACAGAAGTTCAAATAACATAAAACAAACTTCTCTTTTTCCCTGCATTCTTCCTGGGAAACTCATTTATTCCATCATTTTTAATTAACATCTAATGTCCTAACAACCTTCAAATTTATACTTCTGGTCCAGACCTTTTCCCTTACCTCAAGATCTGTATATCCTGTACATCCTACTACAAACCTCTATATAGATATTTGACAGGAAATATAAACTTACCATGTTTAAAATGGAACTCATCATTTTCCCTATAAACATCTATTTTCTTCAGTATCTCCTATCTCACCACTATCTAAAAAGCTGAAAGATTAAAGAACTAGAAACATTCTTGACTTGGGAATCACCCTTTTATATCCAAACCAACATCAAGCCCAATGAGTTATCAAAAAGTTATTCTAAGCCAGGTTACACTTTTGTATGGATGGGTAAGTTCCTGCCAGACCAATCCTCCTCCTGCAGGTAACAAGTATAAGTGCAGGATAAAATATGAAAAAAACAACTACCTGAAGACATTGAAGAGTGAACAAAAGCAGGCATATACTAGAAAAGAATCAATATTTGGAAGAAGGGAACAACATGGAGTTAGTCTTACGTGCCCTTTTTAAAAAAGCTTTAGGCTTAAGGACAGGATCCAGTCTGCCCCATGTGGAATGGCTAAAACTACAACATAAAACTCAGTCCTACTAGCATGAAGAACCAGAAGAAAAGTATTGGGGCAAAAATAGCTGCTTGGAAGTCCAGTGGGGAATCCCAGATCTTTGTGTAAACCCTGATCAAGTGTGTGACTTGAGCAGAGTAAGCTCCTAAGAAGTCCGGCTCAGGCTAAAAGAAGTGAAGTGAAATTTGAGCTGTCAGTCACTTCAGAAGACATAGGTTTGCAATCTGATTTCAGCCAAGGTTAACTCTTTGCTTTAAAAACAATCCAACACTCTTTGGAGGAACATAAGAGAAACAACAGAGTCCAGCGTTTGTCTAGGATACAATCCAAAATTACTTAGTATATGAAAAACAGGAAACAAACCTTCCTTTTTGGGAATGAGAAAATTTATGAGACCAATTCTGAGATCAGCCAGATTAATAGACAAGAATTTTATAGCAATTATTTTAACTATGCTCAAGGACAAAGGAAAATATGCTTATAATGAATAAAAATACAGGAAATCTCTGAAGGGAAAAAAACTACAAAGAAGAATCAAAACAAATGTCTAAAACTAAAGAATAAACATATGAAATAAAATTTCACTGGATGGGTTTAACAGAAGAATAGAGATGACAGGTAAAAGTGACTATCAACCAGGATTTTATTACCAAAAAAAAAAGTCCTAAGCATGCCGCAGTCAGACTTCTGAGAACCAAAGATAAAGGGAAAACACTGAAAGCTGGCAGAGAAAAATAATCCATTAACCCATTGCATACATAGGAACAACCAATTCAAATTAACAAAGACTTCTCATCAGAAACAAGGGGAATGACAAGACAGTGGAACAACATCCTTAAAATGCTGAAAGAAAAAACTTTCTTCCCAAATTCTCTGTCCAGCAAAACTACCTTTCAAGAATGAAGGTAAAATAAAGATTCTTTTTTTTTTTTTTTTTGCGGTACACGGGCCTCTCACTGTTGTGGCCTCTCCCATAGCGGAGCACAGGCTCCGGACGCGCAGGCTCAGCGGCCATGGCTCACGGGCCCAGCCACTCCATGGCATGTTGGATCTTCCCGGACCGGGTCATGAACCCATGTCCCATGCATCGGCAGGCGGACTCTCAACCACTGCGCCACCAGGGAAGCCCAAAATAAAGATTATTTTTCACATATAGTAACAGATCTGAAGTATAAGAAATGGTAAATAGATTCAGGTTGAAGGTAAATGAAACCAGATGGAAACAAACACTTAAAAGAAGAAATAAAGAACATTAAAAATAGCAAATGTGTGGATAATTAAAGACTTCTTTCTCTTTTTAATTTCTTTAAAATACATATGACTCTTTAAAGCAATTATCATAACATTGTACTGTAGCCTTTATAATACATGTGGAAGTAACACATATGGGAAACTATGTGTAAAAGATGGCAAGAAGGGAAGGTAAACACACCTATACAGTTGGAAGGTTTCTACATTTTACGTTAAGTGGCACAAAATTGACTCGAAGTAGACCATGAAAAGCCAGAAATGTGTATTTACTGCTACCAATAAAAGAATAATGCAAAAAGGTATAGCTAAAAAGCCAATAGATAAGTTAAAATGAAATTCTAAAAAATACTGAATTAATAAAAAAAAACAAGAAGGAAAGAATAAAGGACTAATAATCAGAAGGAATAAACAGAAAATATAATAAAAGAGTAGACCTAACTCAACCATATCGATAATTATATTAAATGTTAATGGACTATAAACACTAACTATAAGGCACATATTGTTAGAATGGCCTTTTTAAAAAGCCAAATATATGCTGTCTAAAAAAGATCCCCTTAAATATGAAGACAGTTTGGTTAAAAAAAATATACACATGCATGAAGACCTAAATAGCCATTTCTTCAAAGAAGACATACAGATGATCAATAGGCAAATGAAAAGATGCTCATCATTGCTCATTATTAGAGAAATGCAAATCAAAACTACAATGAAGTACCACCTCACACTGGTCAGAATGGCCATCATTAAAAAGTCTACAAATTACAAGTGCTAGTGAGGGTGTGGAGAAAAGGGAACCCTCCTACACTGATGGTGGGAATGTAAACTGGCACAGCCACTATGGAAAACAGTTTGGAGGTTCCTCAAAAAAACTAAAAATAGAGTTACCATATGATCCAGCAATCCCATTCCTGGGCATATGTCCAGAAAAAACTATAATTCAAAAAGATACATGCACCCCTATGTTCATAGCAGCACTATTTACGATAGCCAAGACATGGAAACAACCTAAATGCCCATCGACAGATGAATGGATAAAGAAGATATGGTATATATATACAATGGAATACTACTCAGCCACAAAAAGAATGAAATAATGCCACTTGCAGCAACATGGATGGACCTAGAGATTATCACACTAAGTGAAGTAAGTCAGAAAGACAAATACCATATGATATCACTTATATGTAGAATCTAAAATATGACATAAATGAACTTATCTACAAAACAGAAACAGACTCACAGATATAGAGAACAGACCTGTGATTGCCAAGGGGGAGGGTGGGTGGGGGAGGGATGGATTGGGGGTTTGGGATTAGCAGATGTAAACTATTATATATAGAATGGATAAACAACAAGGTCCTACTTTAAATTAAAGCACAGGGAACTATATTCAATATCCTGTAATAAACCAGAATGGAAAAGAATATGAAAAAGTATATACATATAAAACTGAAACACTTTGCTGTACAGCAGATATTTACACAACATTGTAAATCAACTATACTTCAATAAAATAAATTATATATATATATATATATATATTATATATATATAGTCTCCCAATGAGACACTCTTGGATTTTGACTGCTATTCTGTTGATCTCCCTATATATATATACACCATGCATACAGTAGTCATAAGAAAGCTGAAGTAGCTAAATTCACATTAGATAAAATAAACTTTAAGACAAAGCATTACTAGAAATCAAAGAGGGAAATTTCATGATGATATTGGGGCAATACATTAGGAAGTCATAACAATCAAATGTGTATGCACCTAATAACAGGGTTTCAAAATTCACAAAGTAAAAACTGACCAAATTAAAGAGGGAAGCAGACAATTCCACAATTGTGAGTAGAAACTGCTCTCTAAGCAACTGCTAGAACAATCAGAACCTCCTCTCCCTTGTACGTGTTGCCATCCCCCAAAATGGTAAATACGCAGAAGATCTGAGTAACATTATCAACAATCTTGACCTAATGGATACTTACAGAACGCTACATCAATAAACTATGGAATAATTCTTTTTTAGTGTACTTGGTACATTTATTATGCATCTAAAACATAGAGAACAATGCACCATGATTCAAAGAGTATTCAGGTCTTAGGTCTACTGACTACTAGCTACATGAACAGGGACAAGTCATAACCTCTCTGCAACTTTCTTCATCTGTAATGGGCAACAACACAATCAAATATGCCAAGTAAAAACAGAAAAAAGCTGATAAAACATAGCTGAATTTGGTAGTTACAGCACCAGACTCAGAATGGAGAGATTAAAATACTCTAAGGAAAGAGAAAAAAAAAATCTTTCAAACAAAATGACTAAAGTGATGCCTCGGCTCAAGAGAAAAGCAAAAGAAGACAAGACAGACCATAAATCAGTTTGGAAAAGTATGAGTATGAAATATATTTTATTAACATATGTGAGGGAAAGGGGGGATAATTAATGGAGAAAAAAAACCCCAAATATGTAAATAGGCTACAATAACAGAGTTCCTAGAGTCTAATGATCCTATTTAAAAACAGATCTTTACATCTACAAAGCAAGCTATTATTACTCCTCTAATTGCTGTATATATATATATATATATATATTTTTTTTTTTTTTGCGGTACGCGGGGCTCTCACTGCTGTGGCCTCTCGCGTTGCGGAGCACAAGCTCCAGACGCACAGGCTCAGCGGCAACTGCTCACGGGCCCAGCCGCTCCGCGGCATGTGGGATCTTCCTGGCGGACTCTCAACCACCGCGCCACCAGGGAAGCCCCTCTAATTGCTATATATATATATATTTTTTTAATTGCTATACTGAATCCACAAATTCACACACACTCCTAACCTGGTTTGCTGCTTGCTTTAGTACTCTTTATGGTAGCTGCTGGCATTGGGAGGATCTTTGCAGGTGTATATGTATTTAAAGATACTTTTCTTCTTATTATTGGACTGGAACGTGAAGCTGAAGAGGCTGGAAAAAACAAACAAACAAACCCAACATGGTAATTCAATAATTTTCTAACAATTCTATCAAATCTAAACTAACTAGATTACAAATAATTAAATCAGATTGTCTTCTAACATCACCCAGATGAGATTTATCTTCAAGCAAAAGAAATTTAAAGATTTTTTTTTCTTTCTAATTAAGGTGGGGAGATTGAGAGGTGTGAAAAGGACAAGTAGGTACAATTCTTAAGTATAAAGTCCTCTGGGAAAGGATAGGCTGGAGTGGGGGAGCTATTAGCATGACCTTTTGGGTTCCTAAACAAAGGGAGTTAAGGAGATAACAAAAGACCGATTTGCCTATTACTGCAATTTTGGAAGAGGACCTGATAGCAATAAACACTGTGTCTCTGAAAAATCAATATGTGGGCCAATTATGGCAAATGTGCCTTTGGTGGTTGATACCTACACTGAATGAATATAAATTTCACTGGCAGAAGATCGAAGTAGCCACTAATAAAATAATACACAAGTGATTTAAAAGTGCCTAAAACATCCTATAAAGCACCACATCGTTACTTAGCTCTTTTCTGCTTGCATTTTTTATCCTATTATAACTTCCACCTCTAACTTATCCAATTAGTATTCTCACACCTTTTCCACCAACCTGATATTGTCAGTGCCTCATTGTAAGCAATCTACTAGTTACCACAAAATTAATTTTGTCCTAGGTGAGAAAAAAATCTGTGAATGACAGATACTAACAATGTCTTCTCCCTTGTTATGAATGCCACAAATTCAGTATAGTTCTATATTATGTTACTTCCTTGACAATCCAGGGCATTAAGTATAAATTACATAAATATATTGTGATTACTAAATATTTATTCTGCAGTTACACTATAAAATACAGGATTCAGATATTTCCATCATAATTGGAACCCTATTTTCTTTAATCAAAGAGAATGGAAAAACCATATACTTTAGGAGACCTGGGTTTTAGTCTTGCTTGAGCACTAACTGGTTAATTTCCTCAATGGTGTCTCTTAAGTTTTTCTCTTAAAACAGTAAGCTTTTCTCAAATGAAATCTTAAATAAAACAGATTAAAGCAGAGACTCTGATTGAAGCAACCACAGAAGACACAGGCCTAATCACTCAGCATCCTTCTCTTCCTCATGGAACTTCCTAAAGCTCTTGGGAATATAGTTTGAAGACCAATGAATTAGATTAACTCTAAGGTTTATCCAACTCTATGAAATGCATTAACTATATTTACTTTCTCATCTAGTTCCCTTAGTAAGTAATGGAATGAAATTTTAAGAGAACTAGAGGGGTTGGGGTACAACTTGTTTCCATAATATAGAGAAGAGTTAATGAGAACTAGAAAAGGAATTTAATATTTCATTTCATTAATATACCTCCATAATACACTCTGAGGAACTGAATTCACTAACCACAGAAATGAAGCCATCATAAGGTAGCAATGCCACAGCATAAACATTCAAAGATTATCTTTTTGTAAATATTCCACCAAAATTCTCTTTCCAAAACAGATGTCATTACTGCTACTTTACCTTTAAGTCATTTACTGAAGATCTAAATTCAAAGCAGCTTAATGCCTACCCTAAATTCTTATTTACTAATTACAGTCTTTCTTTAATCTCTATTTTAAGATTATAAATCCCTGACCCAGGGAAGCATTGAAATGTCAAGTATAAAGAAGGGTAAAAGAGAAAATGAGAATTTATTTATTCAGGTTGTCTACTGTGTTCTGAGGAGCAGCACTGTCCATTCTATCAGCTAACAGAGAATATAAAAGGAAGAACATCCTTCAGTTTCCTGACTTTGACTTTATAGCTTGCAGGTTATTTCATGTGGAGTATTATCAATTCTCAGAATCAGACACATTCACATGTACATTTAAAACTGAAACCTACTTCCCCAAACCATTCCTAAAGTGAAATATTTTAGAACATTCACACCAAGATACCTCTCCATTACCCTTAATGGTTAAAAGCTGACCTCTACCACCAGATGTGAAAGAGAAAGGCAAAAATGCAGGGGGCATTGTTTGGACAGAATACACTGAATAGAACTCTGTAGAGTAATACATTGTGGTTCCCCAGGAAAGGGAAGAGAGTAACAGCAACACACGAAAGTGGCTTTCATCCCAAGACCTCCAATTTCATTCTTGGGAAAAACATATTTACAACATTCTCCTACAAAAAGGAGTTGGTATACATAGAAAGTTCGCACCTTTCCTAAGATATGACTAGGACTAGCAAGACTTTTAACTCTAAGCAGAGCATTCTCTTCCAGAATGAATGCTTCCTAAACTGGAAATTCCAATGTGTCAAAGGATCCTACAGAGCTGAAAATGACAACAGCCAGCTGACTTCTCACATCTAAAAAGGTAGCCCTGAACATTTCCCAAACTGAAGTCCCTCAGAATAGTTCTACATGATGTTTAAATGCATTACCAAAAAAAGTGTTTTCTCAGCAAGTAAGTTCTGGAAAATGTGGGTATATAGTTTTCTTTATAGAAAGAAGAACCTTAGCTGTTTATATGCTGATGAAACTACACCTCTTGAAAGGGAGGTGGGATATAATAAAGTTTCCAAAACTTACTTAGCCACAAACCCTTTTTTTTTTTTTACACGGAGGAATTAACCTCTTCAGAATATTTTCTGCAGAACACAATTTAAAAAACTGTTGTCCTAATTTGCTCTCTTTAGTTAAGGGCTCTTTCTGAGTCTATATGACTGCTCATCAAAAGTGGTGAAGGGATGGGCATGTGGCATGTGTAGGTTAATATAGACTGATGTTTTGTCATTTTAAAAAAGCTTATTATAAAATGACATACAATAGGAATGTGAAAATAAGACCATGACTCTATATTACATGTTGCTGATTTTATTGCTGGGTCTTAGATTTTTTCCCCCCTTTCTGTAAAAAAAAAAAAAAAAAAAAACTTTGCGGAAGAGTCAAGACAACAGCTTGGTACACTGCATATTACACCAAAGAATTCTAAATAATGTTCTTCTCTTTCTCTCCTAAAATTCTATTTACTATCACTATTGAATTTATGTTTTTATAATTATTTTTATATTCAGATAATCTCTATTGCCTAAAAATCAAATAATAATAATAATTTTCCTACAAATTTCAGGGGTCTTCTGTGGAACTTCACTTGATGGAGAAGCAATGGAAGCAAGAAATTCATCCACCTGCTTTAAAGACAGGGCATTGTGAAGAGTTTCTAGAGGACAAATAGATGGCACCATCGAATACAATTCAAAGCCTGAGGGGAAAAAAACAAAAACAAAAACAAGAGTTGGATATCTTAAAAATCATTAATTAAAAAGGAAGACCATTGCTTAGAACTAGACAGTTTAGGTCTTTTCAATCTATCACATGCAAACACACGAAATCTCTGAAGTCATGACACCAGATGCTATGCAGTATGGGGTTGGATCAGAATGTGACAAAGATTTCATTTTAAATGTAACCACATAGTACAGCACGCACACAATTTCATTCTCTATTTTGGTAAAATCTAAGAATAATACTTAAAGAAAAAAACCTGGGGGAATAATAAACAGAGAAAAATACAGGTTTTTTAGTTTTTACTTTTTAGAATCAGGTCTATTTGATAGGTGAATAAGCTGATGTCATAATGTGTCCCTGATGCCAGAATGCTAAAGGTAACTTCTTGTTGAAAAACAATTAAGCAATTACTTGTGAAGAGTGATTTTAAATACTTTTCTAGTCATAACCAGGCCAATAATACTCTCTAGTGTGACCCCAAAATAACATCCATTCATTTACGCTGAAATTAAAATTCCAAAACATATTTCACCTACCTTTATTGAATTAACACAATAATTCTATTGTTGGAAATTGCTAGCTGAGTGAAGTCAGGCCAAGTAAAAAGCAATACAAAATACAAATATGTTTGCATTCAACAATGGCACAGGAATACAAAAATTTCATGAAACAAACCATGCAGATATGTATTAATACCATCAGTGAAATAAAAGCACTTAAATATACAGTTTTTTTTTTAACAAACAGGACATAGGTTATTCACTTTTTATAAATATTGCCTACTTTATTCAACTGAATGGCTTTTAAAATTGCTTTTATATACAACTAAAATAACATGTCTTTCTGCATGTACTTTTTCAAAAATTTAAACTAGTTTTCCTCCAAAAGAAATACTTTTAATGTTTAGTTTCTACATAAAGTCTAATATTCTTAACTTAAAAGTAAAAATTAATTAAACTCAAATAGACTGGAAAACTCTGCTTCAATAGGCATGTACTCATTTTAACACTGACTGATATTTATTTAATTTTGGGAGAAAATACTGACCCAAGAACTGTCTAATTCTTAGTTGCAATAGGGAAACTGGTTAAAAGAGAATCTATCTTTCGATGAAAACAACAAATCCTTTGATTAACAAAACTGGTATGTTTGATTTTCAGGTGCAAACCAAAGCATGACAGGACATTACATATACTTAAAACAAAACAAAACTATAATACCATAACAGCAGCTAAAGCACCTAAGTTAAGCACTAAAGAAATTAGGCTTCCACAAGTACTACATTTCTTTAAAAGTACAAGATTCATGCAAATAAGCGCAAACCCTTTCCTTGCATTATGCTAAACTTAATACTGTGGCTTTTTTATCCTTTCCTCAGAATGTTTCTAAGTCTTTTGTAACAACTATTTTCTTGCACTTGCCTGTTAGATTTTATAACAGGCAAATGACAATATAATCAAGCCCCTTTGGACTACATCTTTTTCCATCTATCCTTAGTAAACTTTTTCTTTAATGCACAGTGAAAGGGTTAACGCAGCAGTTTAAAAAGCCACCCTGCTGTCATGTTTAGAAGCTATAAAAACATACCACTGGAGCCTAGAAATTCCACAGAGGAAACGGACCAGCACCTATTGAGGTATAGGTGTTCTGCACAGAGGCCCAGAAAATAAGGTAAAGCACTGTCAGGAGATACTTGTTTCACCATGTTCTTTGAACTAAAGATGAAGGGGAGGGGTAAGTCCATAATATGTGTTAAGATGGAAAAAACATGAAAGTTAAGGAAAAGAAAAAGAAAGAGTCAAATGACAACTCATAGGACAGATAAGACAACACAGCATAAAAAAGAAAATTTGAAACCCAAAAGAAATATTTATAGAATTGAAAGGGATGCATTTTATATGCATCAAGTCACACAATGTGTGGAAAATCCACATTTTTTAAAAAGTCTAAACCAAAAGAATATAAAATACTCTATTTTCTGTTAAACTTAACAAAAGCTTTTTTATTTTTAAGCTTCAGTAAACAAAGATTTCTCCTATATAAAACTTGCAATACTGGCTATAAACACACAAGCATTTTGTATAAAAACTATAGTCAGTCTTAAATCTTCAATGTCTCTTCTTTAGAAGTTTGTGACTTCGGTTTTCCTTGTGACTTAGGTTTTTCTTGTGACTTTGGTTTTTCTTCTAAGAAGTTCTTATGCATGTGGTTTCTTTAGAAGCTGCAGCTGTATCAAATAAGGATCTTTTTCTTCAAAAAGTAGCATTTAAACAGCTACAATGGAGGGAAAGCACATTTAGCTTTAAGGCTAAATTTTCACTTGTTGAGGATTAGATCTTCTTACTCCACCTTCAAGAAGTATTAGTGCACTGTTAACTTAGGTGTGCTGTTAAAGGATCCAGAAGGAGAAGAATGACTAAAACTTGTGTTCAATCCCTGAGCTTCATAATAGTTTCTGAAAGACCTGACTTGAGTTTTTGAAAGACTTACTTACAATTAAAAAGAAAAATAATTGCATGGATAAAAACAACTTCATTCCGAATAAAAGCAAAAACGTGTATGTTTTCTTTTAAATTCTTTGATTCTGAGTTATTTAAAAATGATTAGTAAATATTCCCTCTTGTCCCACATGAAAAGAGCTCTATGTAAGAAAGCTGTAATAGTGCAAAATTCAGCTTATAAATAATGGCCACAAAACCTTCCTGTTCAGCCTCAAAAACTGAATTTAATTGAACTGGTTGACTAGATTTTTAGCCTAGTCTTCTTCCTATCAGGAGCCCTCCAAATTCTAACAAAAAGCAATGATACCCCCCCCCAAAATTGGTTGCTCGACAGCAGCAAACCATATTGCCACATGAGGACAAAGTGAATGCTGAATGAAGTTTTCAGAGTGCTCCAGACCAAGTTGGGTTTTGCTTTAGACAGCCAGGGATAAATAATGTTACACAGTGAAACCTGCATCCCCTGGTTCCCAAGAAGTTTTCAAAGACACATCTCATTTGGCTATTTGACAAGTGTGGTTCTGTATTTTTGTTAAATAGCTCAATGAAACAACCATGTAATCATGGTTGGGAGAATTGGAAGATTGGGATTGACCTATATACACTAATATGTATAAAATAGATAACTAATAAGAACCTGCTGTATAAAAAAATAAAATTCAAAAAAAAGAAAATTAGAAAGAAAAACACATTAAAATTATTAAGAATTAAAAAGAAAATAAATAATACTAATTGTATTTTTTAAATTACGTAGATTGATCACTTGAGAAATCAGAAGGAATTTTTAGGTGCTAATTAAGTATTAAAACTCATCATCATTGTGGTCATTTAAAAGTTTGATGAGTAGTGCTAAATTATTGTGTAAATTACAGATGAAACGGAGCTAGACAGTATCAATATTTTGGGTGAATAATAAGTTAGAATTGTATGCCAATTGAAATTAAGGACTGAAAAATGAATGATACTGTATACCCCACATATTTTGAAACAGAAGAAAAATAAAAAAGGGTGAAGCAGGGGATTATCTTTTAAAATAAAAGCAAAACGTACCATTGGTTGGGTGTCGAGCAAATGAGATAGAAAACCTTTTAACAGCAGAACCGCGTGTGGCGTCTGAGAAAGAGAAAAACAGGTACCTGAAATTCGTAACAGCTACCAAAAGAAGGACACTTAAAAAAAGAGGAGGAAAAACAAATATATAAGGAGGTTAGAATTAGGTGACATGCAGAAGGGATGGTGAGAGAGGGAAATAAGCCAAAAACTGGTTAAAAGAAGTAAATGGCTTGATGATAGAGGCAAAGTGTTTAACGAAATATACAAAAGAAAGAAAAGCAGGATGAGCTGGCAATTCTGGGAAAGCCATGTTTTACTGAGTAAAATAAATTTGTGGATACATGAGAAAAAGTTTCAAATAAAGCTAATTCAGAAAGGGCTAATAAACACTCCTATTAACAAAAGGGGCAAGCTTCTGTGAGCCTCAAGAGATGTTCTGAATACTATAATTTAAGGTGTATTAACAGTAATGAGAGGATTTCCTTCTACTAGGGGTCCTAAAATATTCTCATCTTATGTTTATTCTTATAAAAATATTGCCAATATGATATTTTCTTCTACTTATAAACATTCCATTCACTTTATTTATTTAGATCAATACTAGTAAATAAAATAAGGTTTAATAATGAACAAACGTTTAAAAGATCAAAGAAAGATTTACTCTTTATAATATGGCTTATCAACTATTTAAAAGAATAATACACATGATGTAGTTCTAAATTTCATATTTCAGTGAATTACTCACTGAACAGGTACTGTAAGTCTAACTACAATTAACTGTTTGATGAAACATGGACCCAAGTAATGAATAACAGAGCACTGATAGTCACTTAGGCAAAGGGTGCTAGGATTCCACTTGTATCAGTCAGTGGCCTTAGGCTTGCCTTTGAGAAATATCGTATGCTCATGGGTGTGTGCATGGGTGTAGGTATGAATCTGTGTGTGCATGTGTGCACATACCATCTATGCAGCCAGAAGAGGTCAGCTTTTTACGATGAGTACGAGCATAATCCTGTAGGTTAGGTGCGCTTGAAGAACCCCCGAGCACCGAGGTGCTAAACAGGCCCGCACAGTGAGACCCTGATGGGAGTTAGAGAAAATACATACAACAACGGGTGTTCTTCTATTCACATTGGGAATTCATGCAGCATGCAATAACATGGCTCTTACCACACATATTTGGCAGTGCCCTGAACAGGCTCACAATTCACTTTTAATGTCAACTTAATATAATCACCACCACCATTTATCATATGTATAAATGGAGGCATTTTACACTGGAGAAAATGTTCTTTGAGGAAAACAATATGCCCACACAATAATTAGACATATACATATTAAAAAGAACGCTATCATAAAAATTAATTTAGGATGATAAGGAATTCTGTCAATCAATTTGCATGAGCAGGCCATATAAAAAAACTTCTCCTAGCATAAATTAAATCATACTAAATCAATATTTTTGAATGTATATCTGTAAATGAAGAAGCTTTCCTGATGCCCTTGAATTTGAGTCATCAATATCTATTATGAAATTTGTGAGAAGACCAGGTGAAACAATTCCTTTTAAGTGGTCATTCAGGCTTAAATCACTCTAAATTCCTAATACTTAAATGATTTAAGATCTTAATTAATAAGACCCCAGTCTAATGCTTAACTTGTAGTAAAAGTCTTTATACCCAAGTAAAACTTTTACCACTGGGTAAGGATTAATAAATTTTATCAGATACATTATGATATATAAAGAAAGGAGTAATATATATACATATATATAATATGTATATATGTATATATATACACACACACATATATATATACATATATATATACACATACACACGTGCGTGTGTATGTGTATCTGGCAAGACACTGTGGGAATATCAAAAGTATCAATTAACATATATGTAATTAAAGAGAGATTTTTCAAGTATGTTGGCATCAATGGACAGTTCATAAACTTAGTATAGAGATCATAGTACATACATAGTCAAAACACAATGAAATTTATTTATACTGTTATTAAACTGATTTAGACAACTATTTACAGAAAATAATATGTCATTATCTCATGCAGTTTATCTATCATGAGCTTAAAACTAAAATAAGTTTAGAAAGGTCTTTTTTAATGTTGCTTTGCTTGAGTATTAGCAAAGAAACAATTATGTTCTATAGGTCAATGAAGAATTAACATTGTCACTGTACATCAGTTTTGCTTTGGGTTTCCTTAAGAGATGACCAAAACCGAAAGGATAACTAATATACCCAGATAGGGTTTGAAACACTACCCACTTAAAAATTTTTTTAATCAGAATAGTAGATTCTTTTTGTATGCGATAGCATATTTTCATCTTTATCAGCTGGGAAAAATGAAGTTTCCTTCCTAAATTAAAACATGTTGGGATTTTAACTTATAGAATACAAGATTAAAAATGAGCACTACCAATTAGACTAAGTAGTTTACATTATGGGCATTCAAAAGGGTTATGAAACAAAATTAATGCTATTTCGTATTTATTTCATCAAAACTTTATATCTTGAGCTTTATGACTCAACATTTCTGAATTAGTGTATGTTAAATAACAACTAAAGCATAGCATTTGGTCATGCTTTCACCTCTGAAGAGTTTTACATGTGTGCAAAATAGTGAGTTTAAGGTTTGGAATACAACTTCCTTTAGACCACATACCTACAGTAGGGTTCTGCTTCTGTTCTACAAGAGTTCGTGGTGTTCGCAAATAATTAGCATTTTCAGATACAACCTGCACAAGGAAAGCAAAATAAATGAACTAAAACAGTAAAATAAATTTAAAAATCCATACTTCATTTGCAGCCTGTTCCAGACAGACAAAGGTTAATAAGCTGTATGATAAATATTAGTAGAAATACACAAATTATGAAAGATCATGCAAGATCCCCTTCTGAAGGGTCCATTTCATATGAGGTCCTTGCAATGAAGTGGTGCGAAGCAGGCATTCAGAATTAAATATCATGTATGAAACAAGACAGATGAAAAGAAACAATTAATAGACAATTAATAGACAATTAATAATTTCACTCTCTCTTAAAAGAAGCCAAATGCCCACTCTTAAACGGCTCCTGTATTTGAAGGGGGGAAAAACAATCACAAACAAAAGAAAGGACAGACAGACTGTTGAGATCACCATACAATTACTGATCCATGCACAGGCTTTATCAGAGTAACCTTTAAATATTCACAGCCTTAATGGATACCATAATCCCTTTTCCTATAATCAATGCATTATATTTCCAAAAGGAAATTGCTGAAGTTCTCGGAAAAGTCATGTGTATGAGCAGACCTTCCATTGTGAAAAAACAAAAAAACTAAAAAAACCCATAGTATTTTAAGTTTCCAAATGTCATCACAAAAAGTCCTTCTGAAGTAATTTTATTTTGACCCCTTTTGTTGGGACATATTGTTGATGGGCACATATACATTGTCCCCTTTTATCTTAAAGAGAGCATTAAGATATTATACAACTGAAAAAAACCCATACTGTATGTAATTATTAGATACTTCCAGATAATAGAAAGCGAGGGAGAGAACCATCAGTATTAGATGTATCCTGCTAATTAACACAGGGCCACATAAATTTTGATATTTAAAAAAATGTTCACATTCTCAGCAAATTCCAAATGGAATCTATTTTTCAATTATGGGGGAAAAGGTTATTAAATTTTCTTATCATCAAATTATGTAATTTCATTTCTGAATGTTTTAAAGAACAAATAAGTCAAAAAAGATTTCTTTACATTAAAAAAATTTTAATTAACAAGTTAAAGTTCCAGGAGTATAAAATTTATTGACTAATTTTAAAATCCTGGATATTTAACCGCCCCCCCCCGAGTAAAAATGCTAAACACATGCAATGTTTTCCCCTCAAATATTGTGAGACATTACAAGCATTTTTAAGTGAATTCAAAATTTAAAAACAGAAGGATTTACTCTGATGTAAAACATAAGGGATTAGATGTCCTCAAAGACAGTTGTTTGTTGCTCTGAATGAGGGGAGGAAAAATGTTTAATGAAGTAAAGTTTAAAAACCTGTTGCCATGAGCCAAAAATACTGGATGTGAAAGCCAATGATTTGGGGGAGACAGGGGAAGAAGTGATTTGTTCCCCTGATCTGCGTCTTCGACGCCCAGTACCCACACCACTGGTGTAATGCAGCCAGGTACCAGTACCCTCTGGGCTAGACACACTCAGGGGGCTCTCTTCCTGGAAGTGAGAAAGGGGCAAAAAAAAAAAAAAAAAAAAAAAAAAGCAGAGCATGCAAAGTTAGATACAACAGAGCCAAATGATCAGAAAGAAAAAAAAATACAGTTTGCATTTGTTTATCAATTTTTAAAAAACTATTAAACAGTAATTTGGGAGCCAAATATTTTAATATTTGAGAAATTGATAGGAATAAGTTATAAATCTAATTGTAAGTAATAATGATTATGAGAATTACATTACTATCTTAAATACACAAAATATTTATACTGCTTAATAGTTGTCACTTCCCTCTTAGAACTTGAAAGATTTTAACAATTTTTTATCTTAGCAATGTTAAAAATACGATATTCAAGAGGTTTTATGCTATACTGGGCAAACTTTTCAACCCAAAGCACTAAAGAATCCTGCAAAGGGTTAAAGAGACTTCATTGTATATATGTATGAAAGGAAATCTGCCTGCCAGACAAAAAAAATTAGAGATCATAAGATGGAGGATTCAAATTGCACTTGTTTACACTTTCAAGCTATCTATTTATTTACCCCCTCCAAAGATTATTTATAGAGTTCAGTAGGCAAAACATGCAGCAAACATTCGCATTTTACATGTTTGCATGTTCAGGTTTCAGACAGTGAGGACAGAGTAAAATCTACTTGCACAAAATGAAGAGAATAGTCTTTTTCTCTGTATGTCTTTTGGAAGTACAAACTTCTGATATCCATGGAGATGATGGACGCTGGAAAAAGTCTTCAAGGTTTTACTTGAATAATTTACCTTATGGAAGTAAAAGTTTAGCATGGCATAGAAATAATCTCTTGAAAGCAACTATTTAAGTATTTACGAGAAAAAGGTTTATAAATGTGTTCTGCGTTTTAAGAGTTAACAAAGGGCAGTGATTTTGTTGAAGATTTCACAAATACAGATGAGGTGCAAAATGAAGACTCGGAATACGTTTGACTGTATCAGTGTTACAGACTTCTTCTGGAGTTCAGAAAAAAGGTTTAATGGTGAAATTCTGAACAGTCTGATGAATTGCAGATTGCTTTGTTCAACACCAAAATCACTGCCCTCACACAAATGGTATTTTAGGTTACATTAATAAATGTCAATTCCCAACTTTCTGAAATTAAAGATAACTGAACATAACCCCAGGTTTCTCATTCTTAAATTAAGCTATAATAGAATAATCCCAAATTCTACAATTGTTAATCATCCTCTTTTATACTGGACTGGCCAAAAGAGTGCAGGAAAACCCCGAACGAACTTTTTGGCCAAGCCATAATTAACTTAAAATATCCCATTCACGGGAACTCTAACTAGTATACATTTTCCACTGTAAAATTACAACAATCTATTTTATCGAGATGTTTTTCCATACATCATTGTCAAATTGGGACACATATATTTGAAATTTGAGAATCAAAAGCACATATGTTTGTATAATTTGGGGCTATAGAAATGAGCATAATTCTCATTTGTTGGTGTTTATGTTCTTAGCAACTGCTAGATGTTATACCTAACTCTTAAGATTTGGCATATTTAATCATTAACAAAAAATATTTTTTTAACTTAAAAGTCGATGGTTCTTCCTATCTTATACTTTTACTTGAGCATTTAGAAAACATTTTTAAGCACTGATCGCAAATCAGTGCTGGGGGAATCATCCTATAGAGAATATAAATAACCCAAAAAGAAGGTATTCAGAGTATAAAAATGTATACAGATGTTAAAGATTTACTTAAACTTTATTCCAACTGCTCAACTTTCCTTTTAAATATTATTTTAGTAGTTATTTAAATGTTATTTTGTTAGTGAGCATAAGAATTAGCCTAAGTTATTTAATTACAGACCTTAATACAAAGGTAAATTTTTCAACCATAGCATCAAATTTTCAAATTCCTATACTGACTTTTGCAATCAGGTTAACAATTCAGAATTTCACATCTTAATCTACAGTGTCATTGGAATCAGTTGTTGCCGAAGCATCTCTGGCAATTCCTCACTACTTTTAACCAAAAATTATTCCTGATCCATTATATCAGACTTTTAAAAAAGTTCTTTATTAGAATAACCTAAAGTGACAAGAAAATAATGGATCAAGTCTTCAAAAGGCCTTATTTTACTACTTCTATTCAACTTTGCTATGAAAACTATAAAGCTCCAAATTCTAAAATTAATCTTCGTATTTTCTAACTGCCTCTATATTTTAAAAAATTTATGTGAAAAATAAAGTTGAAAATTAAAAATCTGTTAGGTTCCCAAGCTTGATAATTAAAGCTGTATTTTCTTTTCTGTTTTATTAAAATATAGTTAGTTTACTTCATAAAAAACATGCTCTGATATATACTTACTTCATTTGCAGCCATCTTCCTAGATCTTGGAAGTGGAGACTTCCTGTGTATATGAATTGGCTCTGATACCATAGGTTTAAACAATATCACAGCTCGATCAACCTCATCTTTTTTAGAAGTATGTGGCTCATCATCACTATCAATTTTAAAAGATCTCCTGCCTTCATTCTGTGCAGAAAGAATATAACATAATAAAATTCAGATAAAACAAATCAATCTCTTCAGATGAACAAATTCAACCACCAACTGATGTAGTCACTTGCAGTACATATACAAGTTTGTTTATTCAAGTAAATTAATAATTGAATTCTTACGAAAGCCTAGTATTATTCTGGATATTGTAAGACAGATGACAGAGTTCCTGACTTCAAGAAATACATACTCTTTGGATAAATTAAACCATAAAACGACAATAAAGAGCCATATAAAATGAAGTACTTAATTAAATTTCATCCAATACCCAAATAAATAAGCAATAATAATAAATGACAGTAAGAAAAAAGAGATCAGTTTTGTTACCAGTAATGCCATCAACTCAACCACAAACTGAAACAGTATCTGAAGTTATAAATTTTAGAAAATTCAAACTCTATGCCAAATATTTCCAACAAATGTGATGACTGCATACTTAAATAACCATTTGATGACTCACTGAATATTTAGTGAGTATGTACCATGTGCCAAGACACAGATGAATAAGATACTGTCCCAAATTATAAGAATCTCACAGTATAGTACAGAAAACAGATACGTTTAGAAAAGTTACACTAAATATCCATCTAAATAGAATGGGTAGGGCTTCCCTGGTGGCGCAGTGGTTAAGAATCTGCCTGCCGGGCTTCCCTGGTGGTGCAGTGGTTGAGAGTCCGCCTGCCGATGCAGGGGACACGGGTTCGTGCCTCGGTCCGGGAAGATTCCCACATGCCGCGGAGCAACTAAACCTGTGTGCCACAACTACTGAAGCCCAGACATCTAGAGCCCGTGCTCCACAACAAGAGAAGCCACTGCAATGAGAAGCCCACACACCACAACGAAGAGTCACCCCTGCTCGCCACAACTAGGGAAAGCCCGCGCACAGCAACGAAGACCCAACGCAGCCAAAAATAAATAAATAAAATAAATAAATTTAAAAATAAATAAACAGGACGGATAAATTGGGTAAATTACACAAAAACACACATTTTAAAGCACTAAGAATGGGCAAACTAAAACTAATTACATCAATGAATCTTACGAACGTACGTTAGCTAAAAGAAGCCAAGCAGAAGTACATAAAAACCTTCATCAAACTAGGGGGTATAGAAAATAAAGATAAACTTCTTCAACCAGGTAAGGGATATCTAAAAACTTGAAACAATCATCACAATTAATAAATCACTGGAAGACAAGAGTGCCCACCATCACTAAATCTATTCAACATTTTGCTGGACATTTGTCATCATTCACAGATATGATCATATAAAATTCAAATGACTCTATGGATAAATTATTAGAATGAATAAACAGCGTGCAGTAAGGTTGTTAGTTATAAAATCTCTATATAAAAATGAGTTAAAATTCAATATGAAAATAGCAAACAGAAAATGAAATTTAAATAAGCCATTTATGATAACATAAAGAATTTAGGAATTACTCTGACAAAGAAAATACAAGACATTAAAAAAAGTCTTACTTTTATCAAGAACATATAAAGAATAGCTCACTAAGTTAAGAGCTGTATACCAAGTCCTTGGACTAGAAGATTCAATTCTGTAAAAGTGTTATTTCTCTCAACACTGATCTGCAGAGTTTATGTAATTTCAATCAAAATTCCAAAAAGTTCACTTTGAAACATGACCTTTTTTTTTTTTTTTTTT